GATAAAAGTGTGCCAAAGAGAATACCGTTATCGAGCGCGGCCGGATAGACGCCGAGGCGAACCGTATGCCGAGGCAGATTCCTTCCGGAATAACCTGGTAACGTCGGTTTTCGGAAATTCCGTTGGTAAGCGACGCCCGTTTAACGACCTACTCTCGAAATCGTTTCCAACGCTCCGACGAATTCGTCTCGGCCGAGGATTTTCAACGAAGTCGAACGCGGATTTTAACGAAGTCGGATGTCGCCGGGCGGATGCGCTTGGTTGTGTTGTCAGCTTTTTATAATACAGTAATGTCTCCCTAACTGACGCTCAGATTGCGCGCAAAAGTGGACGATTATTCGAGCCTTGCGACTCCTTTTTATAGTCACGAATTGTCAACAACTATAAAAACGAGCTGGAAGGCTCGAATAATCGTGTCTCCTTCTCCCAAATTGTCAATTTTTATGCACAATCTCAACGTCGATTAGGAAGAATTTACTGTAATACAGTAATGTCCCTTTAATTGACGCTCGGATTGCCCACAAAGATAGACAATTTAGGAAGCGGCGATACGATTATTCGATCGTTGCGACTCCTTTTTATAGTTACGAATTGTCAAAAACTATAAAAACGAGCCGCAAAGCTCGAATAATCGTGTCTCCTCCTCCCAAATTGTTCATTTCTATGCGCAGCCTTATCTTTGTGCGCCAGTTAGGGAGACATTACTGTAGCACGTTTGAGATCGACGATAAACGAGATAAATGTTTCCTACTCGAAGATTCGTCCGAACGTCATCCGCGTCTTCCGTTTAAATTATCTCATAGGTTGCGGCCACTAATTTCGTAATTTCCGGCGTGTCGCTTGTTTAAAGTAGAGCGACGCGAGTCGATCGCGGCGGCGGATACGTTCGCGACCCGTCTGACCTAAAACGCGACCGCGACCGTTGCTCGATTCACCGCGAGGCGGTGAGATCGCGAAATCATCCGTGAAAAGAAAAGGAAAGAGAGGAAAAAACTCGTCCCGACCAACACACGCCGACACCTACGTACGGTCACGTTTTTCTAAACCGTCTGACCTAAAACTCCGACACCGAGCCGGATTCAAACGAGACATCTGGAAAAAAAGGGAGCGGAGCGAAATCCCTCTCGGAGCAGTCCGCAAGTTCTGGCCGCATTGTCTCTTAATTCGTTGCCGTTTAAAAAATACAACCCGAAACGAGACCCGAAACGCGTCGGATAAACGTTGTCCAATTTGATCGAAGTTATCGCGTTTTTTACGAGATGTTCGAACAATTTCGCGTCACAGTATTTAGCAGCGAGCAAATTTATAATGTATATATAAAGTATAAATAACCGAATGACTATGAAAGAAACTGCAAGTACGGCAGAAACTGTGAATGCAATTCGTTCTAACCGACTGCCTTTTTCCCTGGATCGACGACCGGTTTTCTCTACGCGAGCACCAGCACCGAGCAAGGCTCTTTTCATCCCGATAAAGAGAAACAGCCCTTTTGCCTAAACGCCTAAATCTATGTGCGGCGTTATCGTTGCATTTCAACAATTAACAATGCAAGCCGCGGCGGCGCGGCTCTAATTGGAAGAGGAACTGCGAACAGTTTCTGAAACCGAGGCGAGCCCGCTAAAAGGCTTCGGGCTTCGCCTGCTCCCGATCGCACAGAAATATCTGTAAATGAATAGAGCGTTGACTTTGCAACGAACACACAGAGGAAATCATTCGCGGGCGACATCAAAGCGACTGTTGGAGACGAGATGTCGAGAATGCGGTATCGATGGCGGCCGTACGCGAACTCTCCGCGTTTCTCGTTCCCGACCCGTTAACCCTTTGCCCTGCGATTTAAGTTCGAAGAACGCGTGTCACGAACAACAACGTGATCGGTCGCGCGTCGAACCCTTTCGCATTCCCTGCTGTTAATATTCGGACACTCTCCAAAACGCGATAACTTTTTTAGAAAACAACTTCAAAACTAAACAACTTGAATTTTTTTTAGACGATAGAGTTACAGTCTGTTAGACCGTAACTGGAATGTTTTTTTTAAAGGTCGCTATCGCTTGGAACGACAAAAGAAAATAAAAGCTCTTGTTTTTAACTTTTTCATCGCGACTCTCGTTTCTGGCCCAATTTTTTCACCGCGTCTCTCGGACGCGATAATCATGGTTGCAGGGCGAAGGGTTAATTAGAAGAACAGATCCGCGTGACGGAAAGTAAATTGCTTCGTAATTCCGAGCCGGCGGTAAGATCGCGGCTCGCGAACGAAAGATCCCGGGGATTGACACGGGATTTCGACCGAGGGTGGAAGCCGACCGCGATGAAATTATCGTCGCGTCGCGTCGCAATTAGCCCGCGCAAAAAGCGCGACAATTAGGTACTTTGCTGCGCCGAGCAAGCTCCGGCTGGCTAAGATTTCGGACGGAGAGCTAATGAAGTTGGCCCAGGATCGGGCCCCTCGAGCAAGAAAAATTGTTGCCGGCGAACGAAGCTGCTCGTCGACGCCGCGCCGGAATGGGAGAAGCTGAAATACACTTGTTTGCGGGAAGAAGAAGCCTTGTCGCCGCGCGGTTGCCACGGGAGAATCTATGCTGCCTCGGAATTATGGATTCGGACTTAAACGGGCTTCGGCAGCCCGCTGAATGTGGCCGAGGACTTGTAATTATGTCCCGGGAAATTACTGCTGCTGCTGCTGCCGCGGGTCTAATTTTTGTGCCGCGTGCTCGATTGCTTATTTCATAATTGCGGATTTACCTGAAAACGAAGGAGAAATCGTAAAATTGATAGAAGCTCGGAATATTCTATATTCTCTAAATATCTTCTATAAATAGCTGAAAATATTATATTATTATATTATTATTATTATATTATTATTATATTATATTATATTATTATATAATTTCAAGGATCTGGAAATTCGATCGGCTTCCTTCCAAACTGCGAGATCGTCGATTCGGTGATTACTAGACCGCGGATTTAATCACAAAAGATCGAAAGGATTTTTGGTGCACTAACTTCGACTTGTTCGAATTGTTTATAAGAGACATTATTATTTCGCACGAAGATCCTCGGTCTAGCGATTAATTGCAATATATTTCCAGGATGAAATTCTCGAGGCAGAATCGATTTGTAAATTCCTGTTTCAATTGACGTTACGTTCTATACGAGATTAGAGTGCGACTACAGGAATAATACTTTAAACAAGTTCTTTGAATACTTATAGCAGGAATAACTCGACCGTGTATCGGTATAGAAACTAAAAACGTTACTCGTTCGTTGCGAAACGCAGAAAATTATTTCTTTCGTGAATAATTTCAACGCGCTGAAAGCAGTGGATTGCGTTGAATTCTTGTAATCTGTCTGCCGTTTAAAATCGCACCCGATCGAAATACATAAAATCTGCAGTCCGTCTGTAACCACCATGCGAAACGGTAATTGTTAAAACACCATAAATCCGGTATAAAACGCGACAGCGTACAACAATGTACGAGAATATCGCGGTCGCGCGAGCTCGCGAGCTCGCCTAAAAAGAAATCCATCTTGTGTTTCGCATAAACATGTCAAGTCGCGCGGCACAATCCCGGGTAAATCGAACATTCCGCGCGGTATCTGGAACCAGAAAAAGGTTGAATTCTCGGCTGGGGGTCGCGCGAGGGTTAACAACGATAAAGACGGCGCGAGGAATTTTTATGCGTGCCCACGTTCGCCGGTATCAAATCGAATGAAATATCGCGGGTACCCGTTTAATCCCGGGATCTGATACGTCCGTTTAATTTACTCGTAGTAACCGAATATATATTTCCTTAGGTGGCGCGCACTGCCAGCCGTGGGGATAAATACTCGGTGATTTATGAGAGCCGATATCCTCGCCATTTAAAATTCAAAGCAACGCTCGCGCGGCGTCGCCCCGTCTCGCCTCGCCTCGCCGCATCGCCTGCACGGCGTCCCAGACGCTCTCGCCTAATGCCCTCCTAATTATTTCCAAACTTCTGTCCGACGAAAACCGGTATGAGTAATCGCCGCTTCAGCCTTATTAACCGTTTCGACGCCGTGTTTACTCGCCGGCGTTTCGATCCGCCCAGAACACCGCGTTCTCCGTTTTCATTTTCTTTTTTTTTCTTTTTGTCACGAGAACAACGCGCAGGTAACCCTTCTACGCACGCGGCATCCTGTAACAAGGTTCCGCTCTAACACGATGGGATAAATTGCTGGAACCTGAAATCTCTGATTACTAGACCGCGCTAGAACAGTTGATCGATCTCTAAACCAAGGTAGCGCAAATTATAGCCCGTCGAAGTCAAATTGCGCTTCGTTTCAATCGAGCTTCGTGGCTCTCGGTGATTAACCTCTTGGCATAGGAATAAAACGGAATTTGATGCGTCCGAGAAATACTATTTAATTTGACTATTACATTTATATTTATTATATCTATTATATTTGGCTACTATTTAATGTGCAAGCTGAGAAAGAGAGCGTTTTATTTTGAAACCTGGATCACTGATTTATGGATGCAACGAGGATGTTAACGGTACTGTCTAGTGGACAGAAGGGTGTGAGGCATCTTGAACATTGTAAACAGACCAGAATCGACCCACGAATAAAGCAACCGAGTAATCTAACGATATACCGCACGGCGTCCGTCGAAAACAGTTCTCGACGAGTCAGACTCGTCAAAGTCTACGGAGCTGCACACGGAACGAACGACGACCCCAACGCGTCGCTGTATGTCAAGGGGTTAGCTGACTGGGGGATAGCTTACTTCCACGCCAGGGTTGTGTTACAACGAGCATCTCGACCTTGAACGAGCAGCACGCCCGTCGAGTGGTCAACACGGCCGATAATCGGTCGTGGGAACCCGATCAGCTGGCTTCAGTTAGTTAAAACACACAGTCACGCTAGCCCCTGGGCCTCGGGTTTCGCACGGTTTCGCCGGAATCACGGTGTATGTACCGCTAGCATTATAGTTTCACGCGGTATGTACCTACTTGAAGTTTCGCTCGTTGCAACTGTTGCAGTTCTGGTCCGCCTACGTGCCCTGCTCCTCGCAGTATCTCGACTCGGTCCAGCTGGCCCTGGAGCAGATCGACCTGATTCGACGGCTGGTCAACAAGCATCCTGAAAGCATGGTCCTCGTTACTACGGCGGAAGGTATGCTATTTTACTTGCGACTCTCCTTTGTCCAGCCACCGTCCCGCGTTTCTGTTCCTTTCAGCCCGCTCGCATTTACGCGGCCGTTTCTACTGTTGTCTTTCGAGGACTCCGTCCCGAGGACTTCGGAGAACGGCTCTCGCGTTCACGGTTGCATCAACTATTTGCTCTTAGAATCGGATATCATCGGTGTTTATCCATTGCATTCGAATGGCTGCTGCTCCGAGAGACCGCCGAAGATCGCTGTATCGTTTCTGAAAGTCGTTTTGACATCGTTAAATTTGTCTAATAAAGTAAATTCTCCCTGATTCGCGCTCAGATTGCGCACAGATAGGGACGATTTGGGAAGTGGAGACACGATTGTTCGAGCCTTGCGGCTCGTTTTTATAGTTACCGATAAAAACGAGGTGGATTTTGGAGTTAAAACAGCTTCGGATGCAAAGGGTTGAATACTTCTTAAATACTGCCTGAATACTCGAAGGATGTTGTCCATTAAGAACCGTGTCTCGAAGTACTCGGAATAGACTTCGTTGTTTGTATCAATTAATTATTATATACGAATTATTATATATTCGATCGATCGATGAGCCCGTTTGCGATGCAAATGCCACAAGCGAGACTTTACAATTGATTGCATTGTTTCGAATAATTGCATTCTATTACATTTTTTAATGCAGAAGCTATTGTTGCGCCTGCGACTTCGACACGCGTCGAATGCCGAAATTGTATATTATACCGGTATAATTAACCGTCGAGGGTACACCGACGGTAACGTTGATTGCCTTATCATCCTATTTAGAAAGCGCCAAGGGCGATACGTGCAATTTGTATGGCCTCGGTAAAAAATCATACGACAATATTTCCGTAACGAGGGTTACGCGGAACAGCATGTGACAACACGTTGAATATTCTGCATCAGCGACGCTATAAGCATTTTCCCCCGGTTTGCATATTAACGTTATTGTTATCATACGGCTTGTCTTTAGCAGCCGAAAACTGGCCGGGATCATTACGAATACGTACATACGTACATAGTTTATGCAACATTGCACCGGGATGAGTAGCAGCCAGGGGCCGTTTAAAACATGGTGTATAAATTATGGCTCCAGTGAAAACTGTGGTTGAACTCGATTAAACTAAGCTGAAACAGAAAGCACGGGAAATCTGGAAAATACTAGCTTTTGCGATATCGTGGTACGATAAAGGAGGAAGCGTTATTTATGGGACCGCGATTTAACCGTTAACTAATCCGAGCGACCAGCGACGCTAACATTTTGTCGTTCTTTCATTTTTATTTAGAATCAGATAAACGCGTTCTCTCGCATTTTTTATTCGGAGCCTATCGAGATTCCGTGAAAATCGTGTTGCCAATCGAGGGTAAACTGGTCGGTGGAACATGATCGGAAAAATAGAACTGCGAGTGAAAATGTTGAAAAATAGCGAAGATAAAACATTTAAAAGATACAAAATATAGAACGGTAGAAATCGAAGGTGTAAGCTTAACAAAATCGAGCACGGTGCGATACGCGTACGTTTCTCTGTGCAACTGCAAAAATGATCACAGCAACAACCGATCCAGCAGATCCTTTCTCAGCGATCTCGATGATTTGAAAAACAAAAATGTTCGAAAATTCTTTCGATCTCCGACTGCTTTACTTTCGCGTGCTCGTTTCACTCGTTAACATACGAAACCCGAGCAACGCTCGCAAAAACTAACGAACGAGCATCAGGGATAGAAGTACGAAAAAAAATTGATCGAGCTAATACGCGGAAAATAAAACAGCCTCGTCGATCCTCCCTCGGATCTCTCTAACGATCCCCGAAAATAAATTCCGCCGATGCGCGCGTACCCTCGGCACCCGGCCAAAGCGATTCGATTTCAACGCGGGGGGCGGGCTCGGATCGTCATCGAGCCGCCTACGGCTCGTTAAAAGGGATTTTCGCTCGGCGCTTGTCCCACTTGCTCTTTTTATTTCCGGGCTGTCGCCGTCGGGCAAGAAACTGCGGACGATTAACGCGCGACAAGAGACGCGAGACGCGCGACGTTGCGTACCTGCGAGCTACGAGAGGCTAGTGTTATCGATCGGCGCCGCCGCCGCCGCCGCGACGCTCGTCGCTTTTGTTTGCCCATAAACAAATTTATGTACCCGACTCGGTGCAATCCACCTCCGGCGATCGCCGCCCCGCTGCACCGCGCCGCGCCGCACCGCCCCTCGCAGGTTTCGTTTGGTTTCGGCCCGCCGAATGAATCGCTCGAAGCTCGGCATTAAATCGTCGCCGGCCGGAAGCCTGGAAGAGGAACGACACGCGAGCAGAAGGTATCGCGCGCTTCCTGCCCCCGACCTGTAGTCGCTGTTTAATGGAATCGGCGCCGCTTCGGTCCCGCAACTCAAACACGGAAACGTTAATTGCTAATCAGCCCTTACATAACGTAAACAGACGGTGCGCGCAGACCCAAGCATCTTCGGAGTTCCCTCGGTCTCTCGCTGCCTCTCTCTCTCTCTCTCTTTTCTTCCGTTCTCTCTATCTTTGCCGCTCGACTCCCTCGATCTTTGCCGACGCGAGAGTCAGCGTTCTCGAAGACGTAACGCATCCGGTGCCGACGCAGCCCGTTCGAGGGTCGATCCTCCGAGGATCGCGGAGAAATACGCTCCGAGCAGCTTCGAGAGCTTCACACGCGAAGAATATGAAATCGAGCTTCGAGGTCGACGAACGTCGGGAATTACCATCCTCTATTTGTTCCGAGAATGGGCCGGCCGTCGTTACACACCGCCAGAATTCCTGGCGGAATGCCAATGTCAGGAGGCTGCTGGCTGCTGGCTGCTGGCTGCTGGCAAGCCCGCGAGCAACATTCTCCCTGCACCACTCTTCCTGCCGCCACCGCCGTCAGACTCTTTCGCTCTAAGAAAGAAGCTACCACCGCGGGGCTGCTTCCCGGCCGAGAGAGCGCCGCGCCTTTTCTCCAATTTAATTAATATCACGTGGCGCGAGAGCTTCCGATTGGCCGGCCACCGTCGGGGACGGTCCGCCGCGTTGCTTTCGAGAATGAATTTTATATTCGAGCCACCGGGTCGCCGTAAAGTTAATGAGAAACTGCAACCGCGCAGGGAGCTCTTTTCTCAAAGACTGAACCGGATGGACTCTCGAACGTACGTGGACCGAACATTCGCGAAAGGTACTCGAAAAGGGTACAAAAAATGTAGAAAACGAACTAAGTAGTTTTAGCAGTCGTGTGTCAGACCGAGAACCGAGGACCGTTGATCAATTAACCTTTTAGGTACGGCTGAATACTGCGCGAGGCTATTTCTCTGGACGGCAGAGTCTGATATGTACTGTACAGAGTCTGATACTGTATATTCTGTCTGTATATACAGGATGTCCCAAAAATGTCTCGCAGTCCGAAAGTAGTGGATTTCTCGGGCTGTTTGAAGCAACTTTTTCCTTTACAAAAATTTTCTTCGAGGCACCGTTAACGAGTTATTAACGAAAAACAATGACCAATGAGAGGCGAGCTCGGCTGGCGCGAGGCGATCGAGCCAATAAGCGGAACCGGGCTTCGCGCGCTGGTTGGCTGGGCCGCCTCGCGTCAGCCGTACTCGATTCTTATTGGTCTTCTGTTTTTCGTTGATAACTCGTTAACGGTGCCTCGGAGAAAATTTTTCTAAAGGAAGAAGTTGCTTCGAAAGATCCGAGGAACCTGCCATTTCCGGATTGCAAGACATTTTTGTGACACCCTGTCGACTGTTGTAAATCGATGCGAAGACAAAAGAAGTGTGAAACAATGCGTATGAAGACGATTATTTGGTTCAAACGATGAGCGAGTGAGCTACTAGAGCAAAGCCACTATAGTGGCGTGTCGTTCAGAGAGATGACGTGCCTAGAAGGTTAAGGAGGACGTTCGCTCTCCTTCAAAAGTACTAGGACACTTACGACTTAATAAGTATAGTAATGTAATTGTCCACAAAAGTGGACAATTTTGGAAAAGGAGATACGATTATTCGATCCTTGCGAATCATTTTTATAGTCACGAATTGCAACAACTATAAAAACGTGCTACAAGGCTCGAATAATCGTATCTCCTCTTCCAAAATTCTCCATTTTTGTGCGAAATCTGAGCATCAGTTAGGGAGACATTACTGTACTGTAGACAATACGATGCCATATCGCAGACTCGCAGACGTTAAACTAACGACTAAACCGAATGAAATATCACAATTTGCACCGAATAAGCAAGCGTCCCGATACTTTTCCAAGGGAACAGCCGAGAATCCGAGGACGTCGAGTGGACAGGTGCCGGCGCGAATTTCTTCCATTCGACGAGCCTTGAAAAATAAATAGGTCGTTCCGCACGTTTCCCAGCGTGCCGGGATTTACGCACGGACGTTAGGAGACGTTCGATCCGAGAGACGAGAGACTTCGCCGGCTCGTGTTTGCTTCCGGTTGGCCGTTCGACGTCGCTCGTCCCTGGATGGACGCCAAGAAGGAGCGCGACGGAGAGCTACGTCGACGTCGTGGAAAAATCGGGCCAACCTCCTTCTGCCCCCCCCCCCCTCCCTCCGTTCTCCGGTCGTCGTCATCGTCACCGTGGAAGCTCTCTCTCCAGATTTTAGGATGCATTCGAGCCGGTGAAAGAGGACGCCTCCCGCGCCGGCAGGAAGCGGACATCAGGCTCTGGATGTAACGAGCGAGTTCCGAGCCAGCAGGCTTCCACCTATTTTGCAATGATTCCCTCGAATCTCGATGGGGACGCGGCCGGGAGAGAGAAGCTCGCTTCGCTGGGGGACACGGGGAACGGTGATCCGCGGATCGATTTTTCCCGGCAGCCCTTCCCCGATGGAAATTCCTCGGGAATTTAGAGCAGGCGGACTAGGAAGGAGCTGTAAAGCTTGATGACTTGAAAGCATGAACGCCGGATGAAGCATAAGATTTTGTGGCGCGTGCTTGGCTTCCACTTACGCGGAGGCATTGTCTGCGTTGTTTTTCCGGGCACGCGAGAGAAA